CAAATGTACGAAAGCATTTCAGCAATAATCAATGCGTAGAAAGTAATCGAAGATATAGTAGCGAAATTCCGATCAAAAAACGTGAAATGGTAAGAAAATTGGAATTCAAGTCCTTTTCTCTGTAGTGGATGCCAAAACTATTTTCGATGTGGATGTGTCAAGTGAAACATATATCTTTCTATCCCTTTAAGTTTTGTATTTACTTTCACTACCTTTTCTCACTGACATGTTCATCAGAATAGGAAGAAAACGAGGGATGAACCGAGCTGCCAATTCCGCTGTGCTTAAAAACTTCTGCTAAACTGGGCCATTTGTCTCCCATGACCCATCAATTATGTTATTTTAATCATAGGGCGGAAGTGGTGTAGTGACAAGTGGCACGCTTACCACGCGAGCGGTCCGGGGATCAAATCCTGGGTCGTGAGTCGCCCGGGCCAACCAAGCCTTCCATCCCTCCGGGGTCGGTTAATTGGTACCAGACTTGTCTGGGAGGATAAAAACACTGACTTGTACATCGGCTGGCCCCCGCAAGTCATTGTATAGGCCACATCGCATTCAAACGCCACTACGAATGTACAAATGGAAGTAGAATGCGTGCCGCATCCCAAAAAGGGATTGATCAACGGCAAATGCTTTATCCTTTATCCTTTTATTAATCCATAGAATAGAGACAAAAAATTGGGAAAATCTGCGCATACGCTAGAAAAAGGGATGATAAGGGTGAGACGCGGTAACGCGTCTCAATGTCCAACGAGGTGCGCAAAGTGAGACGCGTTACCGCGTCTCAATGTCGTCAATGTGTTAATATCTTGTAGACCCTTTCTTGGGTACGATTATATCCATTTTTGACTTCTTGATCTTCTTCTTAAGATCCAAAAGCAACTTCAGGTGTAACAAAGTGAATAATTCAATTATATACTGGACCAATTTTTATTGATACGACATTTTTGCTGAAGTTTTATGTAGGTGTAGTTTCAAATTCATTCCTCTTGTTTTAGTTGTCAGTGGATATTGGATCGGAACACAGGTTGATTGCAACAATCCTCGAGAATATTCCTCACGATCCTATTCAGTAAACTTCACCATTAGTGTTGCTCTAGAGGAGATTAATGTGGAGCGATTTATTTGCCAATGAATAATTGCGGACTGGTAATCTTATTTAGGTGATTGTGTTCTGTAATGTATTTTTTAAGTTAGCGCGAAACTTTCACTATGCTTTGTTGTATGAGAAATGTTGCGTGGCAATCATTTGCAGTGTGATTATTATTAAGGTTGATGTTTGGTTGCTTAGAAAAAAGCTAATAGCTCATGGCCTTTTTGCTGCACTGTATTATTGTTGAGAACGCTCATACCTGTATAGAATTCTTTATACGATTAATGAATCCTTTCAGCTCTCTGTGTGTTTTTTGCCGTTCGAGGATTAACTTCCTTATTATGTTCGAATGCCTCTAAAGATGATGCAGCGTCTTCTTATGTTTACATCGTAACCTTTGCCTTATAGATATGATGGCGCATGGCGCCCACAATGGTGGCGAAAATGTGGGGAATGAGCTTATTGATTACTTTCAACGTAGTAGAGCTCAGAAAGCTTACAACATCGATCTTCTTGAGCAAAAATACAGACGAATTGAGGAGCAAGGGCTCGATACGGGTATTGAGGTAAGTGCTTAAATGGAAGCGCACTCAAGTAATTTAATCTCGAGTGGATTGGACTGAGAGTGATTGACTTTTTGCTATATTTTCTTGTGGAAAATTGACTTGATCTTTTTTCGATTCGAAGGTGTTCCCAATAGTTTTTTTTTGTTCATTTAGTTTGTTAGTTTGAGTTATTCTTTTGATTTTATCTCAACGATTGTGAAAGGGACAGCACCACCTCGCCACCAGAGTCAACCCTGCGTTGCGCAGTTCGCAAGAGAGGTGCGTTGCTCTTCTGGGTTCAGTAACCACCCCCCCATTGGTGTGTGTGTGTGTGGCCCCTCCGAGGTGTGGTGCGTGGTCATTGAGTTAAGAAGTTAAGTTTGGGGTTTAACTTAATATATAGAGCTTTTGATTAACATTTGAGTTCTAAGCTATAACTGGGTACTAAGGCGTTAGTACCTAATTTTGGGAATGAACGGGGTCTCAATTTTAGGTGACACTGAACCCCATTGAGGAGAAACGCTACAGCACAGTTTCGCAACGGCACGTTTTAGAATCTCAAGGCAGCGTGTATGGGCGGGGGCATCGAGGAGCAGTGTGGAGTAGTTGAATGTGTCGCGCGATAGAGAAACGTGGTCTAATGGCGAAAACTGCGCAACGTGGACCGTTTGGAAAATGCGCAATACGCGTGGTTGACTCTTTGCTCGCCACTTTCCTACACCACACGACTGTACTCTCTCATCGATTTCGTTGCTCTCGCTATTGCTCTGATATGTAGCAGAAAATGCGAGGTGCAGGGAAAGAGTGCGATGCTGAGAGTTACGTTTGTAGTAGAAGTGGGAAGCAGCGGGGAATAACGTGGGAGTCAAGAGTCCGCAGAATACCGATTCGCAGGTATCGCACGATATTAGTACGACGGGTACGAAATCGGCAGTGCGCGACAGCAATACTGCAAGGTGTTGTTCTACATCCACGCATTTTGCTTGAAGCGCAATGACTGGAATGACGTCTGTTCATGATTCTATTTGCTTCAATTCAGTGTTTCAAATGTTTAAATGGGGCACTTGCGATTTTTGCGATTCGCGCTAAACCTGCGACGGGTCGCGGACTCTGACGTCAGCCTGACCTGTTGGGATTACACATCGTGGGTTATGATGTTTGAATCCCCGGAACGATTTTTTCTTTTTTTTTTGAGGTCGGGAGCAATTATGGGGTTAATTTAGTGAGAGCTAACAGTCGCCGCGGCGGCGCGCGAGAAGTACGTGAGGTAGAAGAATTGTGGGCAGTTCAGATAGTAGGCGGGTCTTTTGATATGTGTGGAAAGCTGAACTGTGCAAGCTCACCCTATTTCGCTGAGAGGATGCGAACATGCCGCGCGCAGCGGCGGCGATTGCCCCTTCTCCATTTATAAGTACCTGTTGTACTATTAAACACATTTGGATGGCTTGATAAATCTGTAATGCAAGGCTCCAAAATTTTGGCTTGATTTTTAAGATCGATTTCGTGAACAACATTACGTACGCCCCAAAAAATATGTCGAAGCGAGCTGTCTGCGCCAAAATCAACAAATATGAAAAGAAGGAATTCGGGTGAGGCCTACTTTTGTACTTTTGGCAGTTCTATATTTCGTTGTCTAAATTTTTTGACACTTTTACAGTCAAGAAGGCGTACTACTTCAAAGATTACTTTGAAGATGAATGACTTCTTTTTTGCTGAACTGTTATCTTTTTTGCGCGTCTGAATACTTTACACTCACCGTTCGACTCGAAATTATGTAGCTGAGAGCTTGTTTGATTTAGGCTTGCGAAAATCTCTGCTCCGTGTAATAGCCTCGAAGTATTCGGTAAGGGCTACGCGAAGCGAGCGAAGGAATGTAGACAGCTAGACAGTGTATGTTATTTATGTGCAAATTATTATTGTCGTCCTACTTATGTAGTCTGTCTATTTAAGGATTTCAATGCCACATTCAAGATGAAATTCCCTAAATGGCAACCCTATGAACCTCGCAAACGGCGCACAGTGAAGAGGACGATCAGAGAAACAGTCAAGGTATGCATATAAAGTATCACAATGGTGTTGTCAAGGTTCTGAGTGAAGATCCCGGTTCTTCTAGGAATTGGTCTTTGATAACCCTCTGGATTACCTTCACTACATCATGAAAATCAAAGGATTACCATCTCACATTTTTGAACGGAGAGGTGCTCATTGTTGTTCGAATGAATAGGTTGTGCTGAAGTATGTATCAATATGTTTCAGGTGTTTTACCCCTTCCCATGGTTGCTGGGGACTGTTCAAAATCACGAGAGTCTTCACCAGTTCGTAATTCATTGGCGGCGCTAAAAGCTCCTGCGTTACCGAGCCTGATGGTGGCAAGCAGTGAGGACTGTTCACGGTCACGCGAGTGCTCACCAGTGCGCAAATCTGTGGCTGCCGTGGGAATGTTGCACCTTACCGAGACCTAATGATAATCGAAAATGACTGGTTCAAGATCAATAGAGGCTCTCCTAATCAGTTTCGATGCCCGTCACCGAGCTTATATCAATTGGAAAAATTCCGCCATGCAATAGTGACCATGCTCCAAATGTGAACACTTGCCATCGTGTGGATTCAAACACTGATCCTGTTGATACTTCGAACACGAATGGCTAACTCTGACACGACTTTCGTTCACACCACCTCATGTAGCCGAGAAAACGTCCATGGTAGCCATGCCCATTCGGAAAGAAGCTGCACTATCGTCGAAGGCACCGTCCATCAGTTCTGGTCTGAGCTGTGCTTCACATTCTTTGGTCACTGTGAGCAACAAACTTACCAAAAAGAAGGAGACAACGTACCGAAAATCTGTAAAGCTCCAGCTTCTTCTCCAAAGTCTACTTTACGATAATGATGCCGTCGGCCTCCGCACAGGTTGATCACGCAAGTAGCACTCCTCGTGCACACCTGCAACTACTGGGCGTCGTCAAAGGAAGCGTTCGGCGCCAAATACACAGCCTAAAGCATCAAAGCTGGGATCTGATCCTGAGGTCACTCCAACTACATCAAAATCGGCTCTCAGAAGTGCATCTCGACGTGGAAACAAGCAAACAACTGCGAAAAGAAAGAGTATTGAAACACCTGTTAGTCGAGGTAATAACACGGAAAAAGCGAGTGGTCCACAACCTGCAACGACATCGGCTAGAAGTTCAAGTCGAACTCCTGCTACACCTGCAGCTGTTGGGCGTCGTCAACGGAAGCCTTCGTCGCAAAAAACAGAACCTAAAAGGTCAAAGCTGAGAGCTCAACTCGAAGTAACTCCTGCATTATCAAAGACGGTTCCTAGAGCTGCATCTCGATGTGGAAACAGCACTGCAAAAAGGAAAAAGGGGATGTCGACACCGGTTATTCGTTCAGATGCGGTATGTAACACACCCACGATTGATGGAGAAGCCTCTAACCGACTGAAACTGGATTCTGCCGAAGATGCGTCGCCATTATCCCCAACAGGAATGATTGGTTGCACTCGCTCGTGCTCTGCCGCAGCCTCTCATTCTCGGTCGACTGGGAAGAAAGCTAAGAAACTCCGAGGAAGGATAATAAAGAATGCTAGAAATGAGTCGATTTCTCCATCGTCAAACAACGCGTTACCGAACAATCACTCATCTCCAGTTTCGTCTGAGATTGCTATCACGAAGAGTTCTCTTCGACCTCGAATGGAAAGCTGTTAAGACTCCACAGTCACCAGCCACACCGCCAACTGCGAAATCTGACTTGGCTACCGCTACATCTGCCATAGACAAAACAAGTGTGCATCGATCTGGTAAAGGTCGTAAGAGGAACAGGTTATCGAAATTGACAGCGACACCTGCAGCACTATGTGATACTAAGTCTTCACTTACGAACAGTAAAAATAGGAGGAGACGAAGGAAGGCATCTTCGAAAAGCACTCCGTCACAGTCATCGCCTCCAGTTGCTACACCCACTTCCAACAATGCTTCAGCTCTCATAAAACAAGATGAAGTCCGAGATAAGAACTGTTCCAGTACTATGGCAACAACATCGTCAACAACAAGGAAGAGAAGGTGAGTAATTACAGATGATGGGTTTTCTTTGATGGATAGGTGGAGATTAAGTGGCTGTTCAAAAATGTTCTTCCTTAGGTCCGATGGAAGCGATCCCGTTGACACAAGTTTCCTCCCTAGCGACATGCCAAGTGGTCTATGGGATGAGGTGGGTTTGTCGTTATGTTTCATCCTACGTATTGTTACTGATTTTCCTCAAAATCTAATCGCGATGAATTTCAGAGTGTTCAGACGATTGTCAAATCATATGAGGAGAGCTTTCCAGCGATTAGTAAGAAGATGACTATTCTAGGATTTGATGCACAGGAATTTAGGTTGGAGTTTGCTTACTGTAGTCGAGTTGTTCTCATCTTTGCAGCACTGATATTGTTATATTCTTAAATGATTTTTTCCATCTTTAGGAACCATTTTGGTGACTCCTCTCAAACGACGCTGTCGAGTTTCGTTAATTTTACGCGGGAATATCAAGATCTCTGTGGAGAAAAGTAGGTTTTCTTCTTTAAATTTTCAACACGGTCAAGCTATGAATTGTGATCTCATGATGGCTACCGTGTCTTAATACGGGCTTATGAATGGGACAGGAAAATGACGTTTCTGGTAACTGAGCTTATTTACGATTGAAAGGAGGATCCTATGGTAAGGTCGAAAACAGGGGAAACATACCTAGAAATGACATGCGGACCACCTAAGGTTGCAGACCAAAGCAATTCACAGGAAGGACTGCTGGCCCTCCCCACGACGCTATCGACGCGCACCAGCTCCGATTGGCTTACGCCGTCCGCTTTAGCACAAAGAGCGTTAGCGTTGATGAGAGCAACGCTGGTAAGAATCGCATGCGAAATAGTGGGCAAAGAAGGGACCCATATCTCGGTTTCTGAACCGCTTCTCTACGATTCAAATGGTGTTTTTTAATCATCAACTCCGCTCTTCACTCATTCGCGCATTTAAAACGTCGAGATGCTCAACGCAGTTATCTAAGAATTTCGTTGGGCATCTTGACTTTCTGATCGGCGCTCAGCGGTTCGTGCGTAGGTCTTCAATAAACGCCAAAACTTCTTCGCATTCTTCGATCTACTTGTCTGAAACCTTGAAAATCATACCAGCGAGGAACACTGACCATAAGTGCTCAAAATACTGAGTGAGTGAATACTCAGTATACCGAGGTAATGAGCATGAGATGAGCGTGAACATCATCCAATCCATTGTGTACACCTTTTTGTTCCCTCCCCTCCCCTTTCCCGACTGTGTGTTTCCACTTTCCTTTTATGTCTCCTACACCCAAACCACCCCCCCCCAACCTGCCCACTGGTGTGTTTGAGTCTTGGGTGCTTTCTTCGTTCACTTTGGGTCGGGGTGAAAAAGTGTTTAACAAAAAAAAATAGAATTACATTTATCTCGGGGCATTCTCCCAAGCCTGCCCATTATATGCGATCAGTAATCCTGGTGACAGATTCGGGTGTGTTGTTCTTGTCCTGTCTCATGTTCAGCTTTCATGAGTTCAGAAATACCAGGGTTACAACCGACTGAGCATTGAAACGTTTTATTTTAAGCTATTTGGACAATGGGTTGAAAGAAGATCGAAGGGCTATGGCGGCCGCGAAGTCTCGCAATCGAGTTCTCAAGGATGGCTATTTTGCATGAAAACAACGTAACTGGACCAGCTCAAAATTTACTGTTCAAATGTGATTATCTCTTTTTAAATGTGCACCTGATAACTTCGTATAATGTATTTTTACCTAACAATAAGATTAGATGTTGAAATTATTCGTGATCTCGAAGGTACATATACGGTCTGATCTCTTTCTGTACTATATCATACCTCTGTTGAATTTTTCGACGATCTCATCGTCGTTCAATAATTCGTTAGGAACATAATAACTCACTGCGAACCGCAGTAATTCGTGCATCTCTGAATTTTTGGATTTTTTATCAGTTGGAAGAGTCAAGAAAAACGATCCTTGTGGTGCACCATGAACTCCACGCAGTTCGCAGTGGGTTGATCTCTACTAGTTCTGTGGAATTGAAATTGATGGAAGTTTTTTTCCTTTTACTTATCTTTTTTTTTCTATTACGTTGCTCAAAGAAATGAAAATATTTTCAAGGTATTGGTTGAGAAGGACATAGTGCGAAGCAGATGTGTTTTTTTCTTCACTATGAATCTTACATTTGTGATATTTTTCAACACTGAACTTAAAGGCACATTCCGCGATCAGATTATCAGATCAATACACCCTGCAAATAAATTTGGTGGGTGCGCAACTGCAGGGATAGAACTTCTTGCGACTAAACGCATGGAAAAATCGCCAGGGACTTTGAGCACATAACCATGCACACGCCAAACATCACGCGCGATTAGTGCGGTATCTATGTCTCCTTCCCCGTACGCTACCGTCTATCGTTCTCCCAGAACCCTGTGGTTCTGTGATCATTTGCCTAACCGCTTAGAAAAAGAAAGGCACAATATGGGTTCTCAATGTTGCACTCTTTTCTTGAACTGACAAGTCAATTAGCTCCTGCTATTTCATGCTTGACCCTCGTCTTGACCTCGCCTTCGGTGTCGCGGAATGTGCCTTTAATTGGATGTCATGCAGTGATATCGGCTTGCAGCAATGACGGACGACAGCTGGCTGCTGAATTACACATTGGTAGATGTGGTTGTCGATGAGGTTCGGGCAATTTGGTTTTCCGACAATTTTCGT